CCCTCCCCCTCCCTCCCCCCTCCCCATCCCGGGTGCCCCCGGAGGCTGGCTCCTGACTGTCTGTTAGGGGTGTGTGGCCCACAGCCCAAGATGCCACATCCCGGCTGGCTTGTCACACGTCTGCCTGTGCTTTCCCTAAGGTCCCACCCCTGCTGAAGCCTCCTGTTGGTCCCACCTCTTAACACCATTGCGCTAGGAGTTCATTTCAGCCTGTGAATTTTGAAGGGAAATCTCCTACCATGGCAACAAGTGGTGATCAAGACTTCGAAGATCTCTACGAGGATGAGCAAAATGAACACTGGGACCAGAGGAAACAGGTAATTTGAGAAACAGAAAAGAAATTCCAAAAGTTAACTTGAATAGCATCAGAACAGTTTGAGAACAAATGTGACAGGATTTTATACAGGAAAAGCAATCCTCAGAATAAGAAAGAAACACTGGGAATTTAGAGTATGAATGCCCAACAATGATGCTGTGAAAGGGCTGGAAGAAAATGCCCATCACAGAGGGCAAATTAGAGAGAGGGAGGGAGAGGGAGGCAGGGAGAGACGGAGGCAGAGGCAGAGACACAGACGCAGAGAAGGTGGCCATTCAGAGGAAATGGACAATCGGAAGGCCTCCTGGGGTGCTAAAGACAGCCGTCTGCTGAGCACTGTGCAGGACACGCTGAAGTGGGACTGCCGCAGCAAGGCACATCCTCAAGGCCTTTCAGAGTAACTCTAAGAGAGGTTTTAGTAAAAGCAATAAGGTGAACTTACTAAGATTGAGAACATTTTAAAGCAACATTCGGGCTGGGAAGATAGCTTGGTGGTCTAAATGTCTGCCTGGCAAGCACAAGGACCTGGGATCGATTCCTGGCACCTCATGTTGTGCAGGCCCAGGAGTTCTGGGTGCACCAAACCGACCAGTGAGACTGGGTGTGGTGGCACATGCCTGTAATCTCAGCACTGGGGAGGCTGAGACAGGAGGATCACTATAAGTCCGAGCTGTGTGGCGAGACCCTGTACCAAATAAACAAATAAAAGGTTTTTAAAAAAATTAAAGCAACATTAAATTACAGAAGGCAGTGAACAACAGCTTTAAGGGTTAAAGAAAAAATGATTGTGAAAAACCTCTCATGCTACTTAGTCATATTAGCAACCAAGTGCATGTGAAAAATAAATCCACCCTCAGGTATCCATGTGCCAGTCTCATGCACCAGGAGCGGGGCTGTTGGGGGGTTGTGCTCCCCCATGGTGAGTTCAGCTAAATGTGTTGTTAGGAGGTAGGGTCCAGGTGGAGGTTCAGGCCATGGGGCAGGGCCTGCAAGGCATCTCTCTGTCCTGGCTCCTGGCTCTCTCAGCTTCCGGTCCACCTTGATGGGTGCAGCCCTCCTCCGCCAGGCCTTGTGGCTGCGGACCATGGACTAAAAACTGTGAGCCAAAGTAGGCCTCCCACTTGAAGCTATGGTTGTTGGGTGTTTTGTTTAAGGGATGGGGAAGTGATTAAGATGTCATTTCTAGGAAAATTTCTTTTTCTTTTTCTTCTTTTCTTTCTTTCTTTCTTTTTTTTTTTTTTTTTTCAGAGACAGAGTCTCACTGTGCAGTTCATACTGGTCTTGAGCTCACTTTGTAGCCCAGGCTGGTCTCAAACTTGTTGTGATCTTCCTGCCTCAGCCTCTTGAACTCTGGGATTACAAGTTCGCACCACCATGCCCGGCTTTCTAGGAAAATTTCTTGAAAATGTATTATAGAAAAGAAGATGAAATCCAAGAAGAAGTAAAAGATGTGTAGTCCTCAAATCTGGGAAACTGCCAGGAGTAGAGTGAGCCAGGTGACAACAGGAGGCAGGATGGCAGCCAGGCTGGGGTCAAGTTTAAATCTCAAGGGCAGTTCTTCCCCCCACCCACGAACACAGCATGGAAGACATGGATCCCGCCCTCACACCGCGCGAGTTACACATTTCCTTGGGGGAAGCCGCGCATCTTGGAGGTAAAAGCAGGACTCAGATTGCTAGCGTCTTCTGCATTCTTCTGGGTTTTGTTTGATCTCAGACATGTTATCTATTTTCCTTATGTCACTTTTCTTTTGCTTTATAAAATAATGTTAACAATACTTATTCATTTGGTTACTGAGAGTCAATTTTGTTTAAAATGGAGCCACAATAGCACAATAAAGACGTTTCCTATTGGTATCATCAGGTTCTCTAAGAAAAACTACCTTAGAAGTTCTAGAAAAAAGCAGCCTTGAAAATGTGCAAGACGGGAATGATCTAAGAGAAGCACTATTTGCATTATGTTTAGTTCATTATTTTCATTTGGCATTATTTTTATCAACTGATAGAAAATAAGAAAAGGAAACCTGTTATTTTTCTATTGTACCCATTAAGAAGAAAGGTAATCCTACAGTGTTACTTTGTTCTACTCTGATGATTATTTACAACATACAATAATATAAATACTGTGAATAGCACTTTGAGTTTTATAATTAGTGTTAATGTTTTTTAACCCAAAAAGCAAGACTATGCAATCAAAATATAACTGTTACTAATTATGTTTACAAAATACATATATTTTCATATTTCTCCATATTGGCAATAGAGTTAGTGATAAATAAATCAGTACCTAGAACATCCTAAGTGTCTCTCCCTCTCGGATTCTCTGGGTTGCTCTGCCTCACCAGTCCCCAAAAGGGACTCCACCTAATCCCAACCCGGTGTGCGCTGCACTCGTGCCTTGTCGCTCACTGCCCCGGTGTCCAGGAGGCCCCTCTCAGGGATTACCAAGAGCTAACAGTGTGATTCTACTATGGACATTGTTGTCATGAAAAATTTGGATTTAAACACAGCCTGCTCAAAAACGGTCCTGGCTACAGATTACCAGATTAATATGTGCGCACACTGTTATGTTATAAACCTAATTAGATAAAATGTCTAAATTACGCCTATAGATTTATGTCTTAAGAAAAAATATATCATCTTCTCCATTGTCCCCATAGAGATTTAAATACTGTCAGGGAGGAAACCACTTTACACACTGCACCTTAATTCTGCAATTCATTTCAATGTGGATTTACTGGGACGTACATAAAGCGCTCAGGGCTGCCAGAGATTTGTATTAAATAACCGTAAGCGTGCAGGTTAAGCCTACCTCAGTGCCGTCCTTCAGATAACGAAAGTGTCTTCTAGGTCTTGATTTTAGATTTTCTTCTACTTTTGACTCTAAAGAAATCCAAACACAAAGGTGTTTTCATTCTCTTCAGTGACTTCTAATTAAATCCACTAAGTCATTCTCCTCTAATAATAGTACATCTTGGGGAACATAGTTTAATAATAACCTTATCTGCCAACATATGTAATGTGTTTATATTTTTGGAGCTAAATCTATTATAAAGTGATTTCCTTTAAGAATGAATTTTTATTAGCATTATATTTTAAGCATTTAGTATTATATAATATAGTTTTACATTTGGAAAAATAGGAATTATGTGAAATCATTTATGCTATTGAAATAAACTTTCGGGCTGGAAATACAGCTCATGAGCTCAGGACCTGCCTGACAAATGCAAGATCCTAAAATCGATTCCTGGTACAATAAATGAACAAACAATCTTTTGGTGAATACCTTTCTTGGTTTGTTTTTGATACAGGGATTTGAACTCAGGACCTTGTGCTTGCCAGCCAGGTGCTTGTGCCACTGAGCTCTATCTCTGGCCCTTGGTGAATACCAAAGCCTTTAAAAAAGAAGTATTTTCTCCACCCACATTTTCACATCCCCAATTATAAAGGTGGCTAATCTAGATTAACATCTCATGCACGCTTTTAGAGTACACAGATAGTGTACTCTCAGCTGCACTGAGAAGAGGCAGTGAAGATGCGGTCCAGGGAAAGGCAGGGAGGCGGGTCCGAGGCTGAGAGTGTGGACTGTGGGCCCAGCATGCAGCACCTGTGTAAGGCGAGCAGGTCTCACACGAGGGTGAAGAGGAGCCACTCAAGAAGCTTCCGTCAGGAGATGAGCGGCCGATGCTAACAGGCTCACTATGATTTTACAAAGGAAAGTGGATTAGAAATGTCCACCACCATTAGGGAGGCTCGGGCAATTAGTACCAGCTTTCCTACTGAAGGCAACTGAAAAATCTGGATGAAATAGATTTTCAAGCAAAAATTAAATACATAGTCAGAAGCACTACAAGAAGCTGGGCATGGTTACATACACCTGTGAGCCCAGCACTTGGGAGGCTGAGGCAGGAGGATGGCTGCAACTTGGGCCCGGCTGGGCCACCTTGTGAGTTCAAGGCCAGCCTGCCCTACAGAGCAAGACAGTCCCAAAAGAACATTGCAGACTTCTGCTCCCTAAATCGAGAAGAAGAGCTGAGATCCCCAGGCCCAGAGTACAGAGCCGCTTCCATGCGAAAAGAGGTCCTGCATTTATGGTGAGCAGTCTTGCTTTGATTTAGAAGCCTCAGGAACTGAGACAGAAGTCCAAAGCTGCCCAGAGGCCCGAGGGTGGAATGTCTGATGTATTCTTCCTCTCCAGCCTCCAGGAAACCGCCGCATGTATTCACGGTGCTGAAATCCTGAAGGGTCACAACCTTAACGTAAGAGAAGCCTGAATCCGCAAACTTGCATATGTACATCTGGGCTAGCATTCCTGTCCCCTCAGCGCTCCTGTCCCCTCAGTGTTCGAGGGACAGTGATAACTCGGAAGGAGGGTAAGATATGTCTTGACAAGTAGTGGCCTGGCAAGAACAGTAAAACTACCCAGAGTAAGGTCCTAGTGACCTAGTCCTATGAATAACTTTCCAGACTACATCCAGCACACATGCAAAAGCAACAAGGCACATAAGGACGCGCTAGAAAAGTGGTGGCGCAGCCTGTAATCCCAGCCCTTGAGAGGGTGAGGCGGGAAGATCACTGTGAGTTCGAGGCCAGCCTGGGCCACCCGATAAGTCCAAAGCCAGCCTGAACTACATAGCAGAACCATGCCTCAGAGAAAAAAGAAGAAGAAAAAGGACAAAGTGAAACATCAGAAATAACAGGAAGCACAGACCCACAGGGACTGCAGCTGTCTGCGTGAGCAGCAAGTAGGTCAGCCACATTTTCAAAAGGAAGAAGAGACAAGACTGAAAATACCGAAAGGAACTTCAACGTAAAAGTAAAAAGGCAGATCTGAAAAGGGCGTATTCCTAATTTCTTCTTCTGATGTATTTTTAAATTGTGTGTATTTTTCTTCACTTGAAGATATTCAGTACACTAAAAGAGAAAGACAGAAATATAGAATATAGATCAGAAGAATTAGCAATTTGTCAGGAAAAGATAAAAGGAGAGGCAAAGCAGGGGCGAGGCTGAGAGACAGAGCCTCCCTGAGGTCTGGCTCCCTTCTCCCGCAGGAGGGGGAGATTCTCTTATTTTAAATTTAGTTGTTTGGTTGGTTGTTTGGTCCAGGGTCTTGCTATGCAGCTGAGGTTCACAGAGATCCTCTTGACTCAGCCTCCCAGTGCTAGGATTATAGGCGTGCGCCACCAGGCCTGGTTTGGGTGGCTGGCTCAGTGGGAGGCTGGCACGGCATGCGGTGCCAGGGATTGGACCTGGGTCCTTGCACTTGCCAGGCTGGCGCTCAGACTGCTGAGCTATCTCCCCAGCCAAGGGTGAGATTCCGACAGAGATGGGTTTTGAGTAACTATGGTTGAGGCTTCCAGAACTCACGAACGGCTCCTGAGATGAACACAGTTTTACAAAAGAATCTTACAGCTTTACGTGGCTTTTCAATGAATCTTAAGCAATATAAATACAAATCAGGTGGTTCCTACACACATCGTGAGCAAGATGCGCAAGACTGGGAAAAAGGAAAATCCTAAAAACAGCCCTAAGAGATGGCCCATCTGCTCCGAGGGGCAGCCAGAGGCAGCAGCAGGGTACTTTCAGAGTGTCGAGAAGAAAGTTAACTTCCAACGGGGTACTTTACATTCAACAAGATATTCTTCCTTCCAGAATAAAAGTGAAATAAAGACAGTGTGAACACACAAAAATTCAGAGTGCTCACCTTAAGAAGACACACACTGAAGGAGATTGTAAAGGAAAAACTTGTAAGGCCAAAATTGATACCAGATGTACACAAAGAGGTAAAAATTTCATCGGACATAAACTCGAGTAGTAAATCGCATCACATGTTTAAAATATATAGTATGAAAAGTTAGAGGGGAGGACAGTGATTTATGCCCAGGTAACAACAGCATTTGATGCTAAAAAGAAGTGCGCTGAGACACGATGGAAACACACGAAGGAGCCGTGGCTGCTGGGACGGTGGAAGTGGCTTGGGAGGTGGCCACGCACTCTAGGACCCCAAGCCATTCTGGGAAAGGGACAGCACTGGAGACGTGCACATTGCTGTCAGCAGAGGTCCGGGAGGTGAACGGCTGACTAGAAAGAAGCCACAGAATTCTTAGGCCGTGCCACCCCCCTGCCTGGTGCCACCATGCAAGGCCCATGTGATTAGGTATTGCTCTAGACCCACGGCGTGTACGACACCAGGTGGCAGCAAGGGGCCCGAGCGTGCGGGGGTGGAGGCTGGGAGTAAGTGGGAAATACGTGCTTTCCGCTCGATTTCACCATGAACTGCTCTGAAATACCAGGTCACGAGCGGGCATGGGTGTGCTGCAGGCACGGGCCTGTCATCCCAGCGCCCCAGGAGGCTGAAGCAGGAGGATTATGTGTCTAGTTCACCTTGTGCAACTTAGTAACTTAGTAAGACCCTGTCTCAAAATAAAAGATAAAAGGGGTTGAAGATGTACCTCAGTATGAAGGCGGTGGGTTATTGAGTATTACAATCAATCAATCAACTAATCAATCAATTTTAGTAAAAGGTCCTTTCAAGAAAAATGAGATGGAAACAAAAAAACTACATCAAAATTATTGTCTTTAAGGGCTGATGAGATAGCTTAGTGGTTTAAACTCCTGCTTGAAAAGAAATGTACCTGTCTTTTAGACAGGATAGCACGTCTGCATCTTATACTATGAATAATCATTACGAAGACAATAATATACAGTATATTAATTATTGAAACTGCCCTACTAATCGGTTTTGAAACTATCTCATTGCTATTTGTTTCTCAATAAAATTAATTTTAAAAATAAATAAATTCCAGCTGGGGAGATGGCTCAGTGGGATAAGTGCTTCCCTGGCAAGCACAAGGGCCTGAGTTCAATTCCCGGTTCCACCAAAAAAAAAAAATTTAAAAAAAAATTAAAAATAAATAAATAAATTCCTGCTTGGCAAGCGCGAGGACTGGGGTTCTCTCCCCGGCAGCACATGCTCACAAACCCCTCCCCCAATGTGGGCTGAGCCAGCCACAAAAACAAATTAATAAATCTACAGGTATTGGTAATTGCATTAAATGTAAGTAGACTAAATGCTCCATTCCAAAGAAGAGAAATAGATTTCAGTCTTTAAATTTAGCAGTCAAATGTTTACAAGAGATAAAAATAGGATATATTTACCTCAAGGAAAACAAGTTGGAATTTTCTTGGCAAATGATAGAATAAGCAAGCAGAAATCTCGGTAATGATATGGAAGAGTTGTAAAAAAAAAAAAAAAAAAAAAAAAGCAAAGCAATTTGACCCAAAAGACACAAGTACCCACAAGTACAAGACATAGCCCTGGCATCTAAAATCCCAGCGACTCAGGAGGCTGAGGCAGAAAGATCGCAAGTTGGAGTCCAAACTAGGCAACTTAATGAGACCTTGCCTCAAAACAAAACTCAGAGAGTCAGAGATGCATTTACAATTGACCAGACACTGGGTGAGAATACAGAGATTAACTTATTACATAGGACTGAACACCAGGGTTAGCAAACACCAGGGTCAGGCCCCACGGTGACAAAGAATGCAGCAACCGACACAGGAGGGAGGGAGCAAGCAAACTCATTTAAAAGATACGAGGTCAAGAAAGCAGCAGGTGTGAAGGCCAGGCAGTGAAGCGCCCTCTCGCGGGGAGGCTCCTGAGTGGGCTGCCCAGGAGGGCTCTTGGTCTAGGGCTTTTACGAAGCTTAGAAGGGAGCTCCGCCAGTTATGTAAGAAACACACCCTGTCCTATAGGCTACAGATTTGTTAAGGGTCCGATCCATGCAGCATTCACGCAGTGCCCGTACAGGGCCCATGCCTGAGCCAGTGGCCCGTCTGCTCCTGCTCTGGGCAGGCCTCATAGGTGCAGGACCCCTGCAGGTGTGCACATGTGCGTGTGTGTGTGTGTGTGTGTGTGTGTGTGTGCATGTGTGTGTGCGCGCGTGTGTGTGTGAAAGGTCCCTGGAGGGTCCTCACTCAGCAGCCTCCACTTGGGGCCTCCTGACTCCATTTTGAGGCCGCTGTCCTTGCTGCATAATAGAACTTTACGTCCTGTCTACTAGTCCTATTACCAAGTCATACGGAGCACATATACCTGCTAACCTCAGTGTAAGTGAGCTAGCAAGCAGCAAGCAAACGCTAAACAGGAAAGCCCTATATATTTTGAATTAGGACGTTTATTTCTATACAGCGAATTGGTGATGGAAGACAAACTGGAAAACAGAAAATTGCTATCTACTCTTAAAGAATATGGTAGGAGGCCTTGTTCTCTGGAATTTTAAGCTACAGAAATTAATGTTGTGTGGTGCTCATGAAAAAAACAGACAAAATAATCTCATTAAAAAGAATAAAAACTCCAGAACAAAGATTTAGGGGTTAGGGAAAGAATAGCCTTAAAAGAAAAATCTGCTGAAAAAAAATTAAATTAGACCTTATCTCACTCAAAACTGATTCCCAAACCTTTTACTAGACAAATAACAGAATCTTTTTGTGTTCACAAAGTATGGAAAGATTTCTTAGACATGGTACAAAAAGCTTTGCTTAGATAGGGAAAGATTTAGTATATTTGAATTTATTAAAGTGAAAATTTTCTGTTCATCAGAGATTCCCCCAAGAGTGAAAAGAAACTCCTCCCCCCCAAAAAAAGAATCCATTGAAAAAGAAAAGATGCTCATAACACGTATACTAGGGATGAGAAAAGGACAACAGTTGAATGTTAATGTGAATTAAACTTGGATGATTTCTAAGAGTTGATCCTTTTTTTTTGTTGGTAGTGGGGAATCGAACTCAGGACCTTGCGCTGACAAACAGGCACTTATACTGTGCTATCTCCCTGGCTCTGATTTCCAAAAGTATAATTTACACTTAATATAGTCATGCTCAATAAATATAAATCAGTGAAGTCATATTTAACTGATCAATAGGCCGATGAAGAGTCCTCAATCTTACTAAGTAGGCACAGAAATGCAAGTTAAGCTGCGTTTGTGTACCACTCTACATAACCCAGTAGATTAGCAAAATTTTAGAACTGGCAATTCCAACCCTTAGCAAAGAAGCACAGCGACACCCCACAAATCCAGTGGGAGCATAAAAGGGCGCAAGCATTTCTGAAAGTTGGCCACTTCTGGTCATACCTGAAGATAAAGGTGCCCAGCAATAAAACCCCGCATCCGTGCCCTGGAGATGCCCTTCGTGTACCCAGGGGGTGCGTACACACCAGTGTCCACTGCGGCACCATTGTGGCTGAGATGCTAAAGCCCCCCACTTCAGTGGGAGTAGGGCAAGTTGCGATGAATTCACACCACAGAGTATTTTCCTTACAAAACAGAAGAACTGCCTCCCCACACAGTACGAGTGTGTTTTTCAAAGACAATGTGGAGAAAAAGCAAATACAAATAAAGACATAAAGCGTGACTATATTCATAGAGAAACAGAGAAAAACAAGCACGCTATATTCTTTGGAGAGGGCTGTGTAAATAAGGAAGCTGGGTAGTGGCGGGAAAGGTTGGGAAAGGGATCTGGAAAAGGTCGTGGTGTTGGCGGTGTTTTCCTCTGACCCGTGTCCTTCGTGCAGGTGTGGGGGCTTGTGAGGGTCCTCACGCTATGCGCGTTTATGCCTTTGGCGTGGGAGGTGCAGCTCGGGGACAGAGCACTTTCCAGGTCCTGGGTTTAATGTCCAGTCACACACACACACGCACGCACGCACGCACGCGCGCACACTCGTGCACATGCCGTGCACGCACATGCACACGCGCACACACACATACATGCACACGCACACACAGAAAAAGTACTGTGTCCCTAGAGCTCACCATTCTCTAGAGCTCAAAATAGATAAAGCTAAAGAAGCGCTTCTGAAAGCAGCACCGGAGGCACGTATAGGCCGCACGCATTTTTCTCTCTAAATGTTATTTCTTAATTTAAAACGGTTTATCCGGGAAGAAGGCAACTGATTGGAAAGAGGACAAGAATGGAAGAATAAAAGCCTGTCGTCCCCTGGGGCTGTGCAAGGAGACAGGATGAGGATTTGCGTTAGGGTGGTGACGGCAAAACTGTGGCAGGTGGATTCAAGATGAGCGAGAGCGGAAAGGCGTGAGGACGCGCTGGGGGAGGAGCGGCCAGGCGGTCGCCTCGGTTGGTCACCGGAGAAGCTGCAGCGCAGAGCAGGGCGCTGCGGGAGGAGGAGGAGGCGCGAGGGGAGCTTGGGGTGGCCGCGGGATCCGCATCCGAGCGCTGTGCTAGGCGTCTGAGGCTAACTGGAGGCGAAAGTTGGATAAAGGCATCTGACCTGCCCGCAGATAGAACGGAAAGAGTGAAGAGCATGTGAGATTTTAGCCGAAAGACTAGACGTGGTCGCTGAGGAGAGAGTGCAGGCGCAGGCGGGCAGGGACCAGCTGGGGACAGGGGCAGTGTTTTAAACTTGGAGAAGACTAAGAAAAATGAGAGGAGAGACTACAGGAACACAGCTGGGGGTCCCACACGCCCGAGGAGGTGAGTTTTCAGAAGAAAGAGGAGAAAGGTGGAAGAAAATGGGGACAGAAAAGGGCCCCATGAATACGGCAACACGAGGCCACTGGAAACCACAGTCGCATGACTTCAGTGGAATAGTGGGCAGGGCGCAGGCCAGAGTAGGGAGCCTGAAGCAAGAATTGAGGCGTAAACAAAGCTTTTGAGAAAGTAGATCACGAAGCAGGATCCAGGAAGAGGCAATGTGGGGCAGCAGAGTGGGAACAGGAAGCAGGGACCAAAGAGGCTGGTGAGGGGCCAGGGGGATAGCACAGTAGAGTAGGAGCCTGCATGGCAAGCTCAAGGTCCTGAGTTCAATCCCTGGTACCGCCAAAAAAAAAAACAGGCTGGTGACACGCTGTGACAAAGGCAGAGGGGGGAAACCAAGGCCACAAGGGACCCTGAAGTCCTGCGAGCACCCAGAATGCTGGTTCATAACTCTCCAGCCCCCTCAAACTTCTAAACCTGAGAGAAGGCAGAGAAGCTGTGGAGCTAGCCACCCAAACTTGGCTTCATCTAACAATGACAAGGAAACTAAAGATTGAGTTGAAAGGACACTGACATTTTCTTCCGGAAGAAATAAAGATGACCACCCCCCCAACACACACACAAAAAAATGAAAATACATTCATGAAAATGTATCTTGTGAGGGCCAGCCAGATAGCTCAGAGGACTATAGCGCCTGCTTTGGCAGAGCATAGAGGCCGGGGTTCAATTCCCCTTGTGCCATGCTGCCCCCACCCCTGGGGGTGCACTGAGACCACGATTGAGACTGGGCATGGTGGCACGCACCTGTAATCCCAGCGCTTGGAAGGCTGAACACAGTGGATCACTACAAGTCTGATCTACGTAGTGAGTCCCTGTAGACCCTATAGACCCTCTACTAAATACAAAAAAAAGTATCTTGTGATTGTATAAACTGTTGCTAATACAATATTTAACTTCCCTTCTCATAGGTAAATTCTTTTCTTAACAGGGTCTGCAGGGTCTCACTACACAGATTGGACTCGTAGTGATCCTCCTGTTTTCAGCCTCCCAAGTGCTGGGATTACAGGTGCACCACCACGCCCAGTCTCAATCGCCATCTCAGCACGCCCCGGGACAGGGCTGGCACAGCACTCCGGGGATGGAATTCCAGTCCCTGCGCCTGTCTGCGCAGGTGCTTTAGTCCGCTGAGCTATCTGGCCAGCCCTGGTAAATTCTTTATTGTTCATGCAAATGCTTTCAATAGACATCAGGAATTTTAATATATTAATAAAAATATTAAAAGCAATATTAATACATCAAAAGAGAAGTAAATATGTTATACAAAGCACTACCTATTGACTTACCATCTTGATTTCTTATATTTGATGGTCCAATATGCGGTCTCAGATTGGACTTTTCAAAATCATTTTTGATAGATTCAGGCTCACATTTGAGGGAGATAAACCTGGAGGAAATAAAAATTCAAGTTTAAAATGATTCATAAAGCAAGGAATATGAAGTCTCAGCCATCCAGACTTGGATGTTCTATTCATGGGTGGCGCTGTTATCATAGTGTCGGGTGTAAGAGGTTAGCACTGGGCAGGAGCTGAAACATTGGCAATGATTATTTCAAGTAGGAGAGCTGCTACGACAGGCTTAACATGTGCTGTTACAGTACGCTGAAGGGCGCTCAAGGGCACAATTATTCACAAGGGACATGAGTAGACCTTTCAGAAGAGTGTACTGGATTAGAAGAGTCCTTCTGGGCATACCTGAAATGTCCAGGAGAGACTGAGGGGAATCAGGGGACCGAGCGAGGAGGACACACACTCGGTGGCAAAGCACCAGCTCACCGGCTGGGTCCTGTAGGAGTGGTACACTCTTCTGTCCTCTGCCATCGGAGCCTGGCTCTGTGGCCCTTGCACTCCAGGTCTCCAGCCCGCCTCTCCAGCTCTCTGCCCTGTTAGCAGCATCCCACGCTCCAGCCCGCCGAGGCCTGTCCAGGACTCCTCCACTTCCCAAATCACATGGACCGTGGACCCACTCTCCCATCGATCCCCTCTCTCCTTGCCAATTGGTTCTGTCTGTTTGGAAAGCCCCGTCTAACACAAGGGGTTATTGGTGGTGTGTCAGAAAGTGGCATAGAAGCAGAAATCCTAACCTAACTGCAGCCACTTTGTTCGGTGAGGCTGCAGGCCTTCCGTCCTCTGCCACTGAACTCAGCCAAGGCATATGATTTGTCACCAAGCTGAAGCTTCTGTGGATGTGCTGAAAACAACTTCGCTGCACCCAGCTCTGCTCACCATGAGACACCCCCTGTCCCGTAGCCTTCAACAAAGCTGGTCGCCTTGCTTCTTTTCTTTGCTGCCTTATAAGCAAGACAACCTCTATAAACAGTACCTCCAACTTGGAGATTCCTCCTCTGGGCTCCACAAGTGTCAGTAAAATTTCGTTTCTTCTCCTGAGCTCCTGGCTACTGTTGATGCAATTTTCCCCACAAGAGCATTGTAGAATTAAAGATGTTTCTGCGGGAGCAGCCCAAGACTCAGCCTGCAAACTTCTCTGGTCCTTGGTAGAAGTCGCACAACCCCTACCCTTAAATATTACCTCCGGGCTCACTCAGGTTCCCAGCTTGGCATTCACACACCAAGCTCCTTCCTGAACCCCAGATCTCTCTCTCTCTCTCTCTCTCTCTCTCTCTCTCTCTCTCTCTCTCTCCCCTCTCTCT